TCCCTAACACATACTTTTTTCACTACTGCAATATTTAGAAATCAAGCAACACCACTGCCCTTCCCTGGTATCATGCAGTTATAAAGAGGGCCCTGCCTTTCAGAAGCATCAGCGCTGCTCTGCATTGGTGCCATGCATCCAGGGGAGGATGCACATCTCAGGAAGCCTCTCTGCCTCTCCTTTTTCTCATCCATCAGGAACAAGACCATACCATCCAGGAGGTACAGCGTGCTTAGCTACAGATCAGTTTGTACAGAGCTTTCACCATGTTTTGGCTGACCAAGAACTTGATTAATCGGTACGCTATTGGCCTTCAGTTAGAGTCACATGAGTGTTGCTTATCTTGTTACTGGCTAAAGGCTCTATGCTTATTTATAGTCCCTATATACTACTCTGGCAGATAGCCTTGTTAAGGCAAATTGGGCCACTCACCTGTTCGCCTGGTAGACCCGGCAGGCCACGAGCCCCTGTGTCACCCTGGTAAGATAGAAGAACCACATTAACATAGCAAGGACCCTACAGCTCTCTCGGCAATGCCTTTCGGTCACTATGTTGCATCCTACATCGCTGTACAGTGGATGCATCTCTCCTGCCTCTCTCTGAAAACTGGTCCCCTTTCAGGGCCTAAAGCACGGTGATCCAATGTACATCACCTATCAACCCCACAATGCTTTGGAAGCACGAGTCAGCCCCCACGTTCGGGGTTGGGCTCGGCTGCATTTTTAAATGACACCTTATGCCAAAATAAATTGTACCCAGACACACATGGCACCTACTCTTCCTCCTTGCCCCAGTTCATAGGCATGTCACTCCATTGACTTCAGCAAAAAAATGCCAGGGGAAATAAAATCAGCATCAGGCCTTGCCAGACCTGATTCATATCGATAGCAAGTTGCATGAAGTGGGATTCCTTCCCTACCTTGGGACCAGCTTGTCCAGAAGAGCCTTCCTTTCCCTTTTCTCCTTGTTCTCCCTGTAGGGAACATGAATGAAGGTTAATAAAGGACTACTTCTTTCAGCAGCTCATCATATTTGCAGACAGAAGTTAGTGAGGGGAGTACTAAGGGTCAGATTTCTAGTAACAATGACCTGTGCAAATGTGTACGAGTGTGTATGTAGGTGTGTGCATTCATGTGTGCAATCCTGGCATGTCTTCCCAACTCTAAAAATATTAGTTTACTGAATCCCAGAAGTGCTTCGACCCCATTCTGAAACCCCAGGCCAAATTTCCTTTTGTAACCTCAAGCCTTGTTGTACCATAGTTCCTGAACCACAACTACAAACATATACACAATTTTCCTTGTGCCTGCACAGTGTGTAAGTGGATTTGCCCATGGATTGCTAAAAAAGCAATACATTGAGGAGGGCTGAGATGCTGCTTATTGGTCCAACAGGCTAATAGCTTAAATCTCATTTCAGAAGCTGGGTAACAGTAGTGCTAAGTGAAAGGTTGCTGAGACGCACTTAAGATCAAAGCATGGCTGTCTTCCAGGGATATCTTGGAGCAGGGAATGGATTAGGGACCCCGGGGTAGATTAATCCCAGTGCATTCATGCAGGGGAAGCAATGATTTCAGCGTCCTCCTGCAGCGCACGCAGAATGTCAGCACAGCACTAGGTATTGGGCATGTTTGTGATCATACAGACTGGAGGCTACTGCCAGTCTGAGTCTGCTCCTGGCTATGGTATTCATAATGCTTCCACCTACCCCTTGTGGGGATGCACTTGCTGCTCCTCTGGCTCTGGCTGTTAGAGCTGGAGTAGGGCCCTTTCCTTCATTTTATTCAAGCAGCATCAGTGGTGACCCACCTGAGGACACTAAGTCTGGAGACTCACTTCCATTTCCCTGCGATAGCAAGTCAGAAGAAGGGAAGCAGCTTTCTAAACCCATCATCACTTGTAGCATTCATTGTAGTTTTCTTGTTGTGCTTGATCCCTCCAATGGGGCAAAACAGCTAGGGAAGGGTTAAAAGCTGTTTTTGCCTTTCACATAGCACAGTAGGAGATTAAAGGAATTAATGCACCATCTTTCTAGCCCCTCTGGGCCCTGGAGGCCATATGTGTTATGCGTGTGCTTGAACAATACACTGTGCTCCATCCAGCCACCTGCGGGGCTGAATGTCCCCGGATAAAATACCTCAAAAGTCTGTCCATGATGTTGCACCTCAAGGCTCAGTGGAGTGAACTAGGACAAATGAGTACCTGACTTGGGCCCATCTGTCACTCTGCACAGTTGATAAGGGAGGGAGCTAGTGTGATGTGAACACAGGCTGTTGTCACTTGCCTTTTGACCCAGAAGTCCAGGTAGACCATTTAATCCATCTTTGCCAGGCAAGCCCTAGACAAGGGAAAAATGATTAGTTGGAGGCAACCTTCTTCTTCAGATGGTTTCAAGCAACATCTTGTCCACTGTCTAGCTATCAGGCCTGAGCACGTGACCTCCAGAGGTCATCTTTTACCCTGATTGAAAGGACAGCGGACCCACAGAGGGAGATTGCAACACACAAGTTTACTAAACCAATCCCATAAAGCAATCCCAGCCAGTGGCCACTGGATGTCACTGTAGCCACAGAAAAAGAAGAGCACACACGCATGTTAAAGACTATAAATTACTTGATTCTTAAGTAAATTTAGAGATGGCATCTTTACTTATCTCTTCCCAGTCTCTTCTGCCTGCCAGGATAGAAAAAAGTCTGCCTCCTTTAAGTGCCAGTAATTCATTAACTATACAATCTATCTTATCTGCATTAAACCATCAGCTGGCAGGAGCCGGATGAAAATTATGTCCCTAATGTATTACAGAAGTAGGGGAAAACATTGTCCTCTTTCTGAATGTCAGTTGCTTATACAGCTGATAACGAATGTTAAGAGGTTGTGGGAGGTGCCCATTAAAGCCAATTACATCCTAATTACTCTGCCTTGGCATTAAGCAGCCAACAGAAATTGCTTTACCCTTCAAAGTTGGAGATGCTGTTTCAATTCATGTGCCAATTCAAAAGTATCCATGTACCCGAATCCCAGTTGTACCTGTGTAAAAGGATCCTGAGTCCTGGTTTGGTCGACAGCGGTGTTTAAAGCCAGGATGTCACACACTAAAATCCTAAGTCTCTAATGTTTAAATTAAAGGAGGAAGTGCTCTTAATGGGCTCATTAAAAGCTTTTATGTTAACAACCCAATGGCAGGGGAACAAAGGCTCTTGCCTTCCTATTTGGGACACATGCACACACAGTCACCGACCACAGAAAGGAGATGAAATAAGCTGCTTACAACTTACAGGGGGTCCTGGAAGGCCAGGTTTTCCTGAAACGCCAAGTTCTCCGGGCAATCCCTAAAATGAAGCCATAGCAGAGAAGCATCACTGGTTCTGACCCACAGCAATCAAGTGATGTTCGCGCCCTTTCCCCCATTGCAGCTTACTGATTTTCACTCAACCCGATCAACACTATTCCCCCACCCGCAGTGGCATGTTTCTACCTTAGGAAACCAGTGGAAGTGTTAATCCAGTCTGGAGTTGCAAGAGTTGGTATTTAATGTAAAGGTAATGATGGCTGTTGAAGAACCACTACCTGAGGCCAAACATTGCCTCTCTGTGAAAAAGCATAAATGAGAATACATCCTTAGCCGAGGGCCCACCAACTCTCATTAACTTCAAAAGGAGCAAGAGTGCAGCTATCCCATTTCAGTACGGTGATAAGAAACCTTGCCCTGTGGTGCTCTGGGACCACGCTGTGGGCACTGCCTCCTGAAGTGGAAGTGGTGTAGCCACATCTGTGCCAGGCTGGGACCATGCCAATGAAGCATGGACCCAGCACCAAGCTAATGCAGCTGTTTTGCACAGAGCAGGGACTTCATGTGGCAATGCAACGTTCCCTGGCACCATACCAAGGGAGCACAGGCATACCACACCCTTACCTTCAAACCACTATCCCTTTCCCCTATAAAGTAAAACTAAAGCCAAAGAAGGTTTCTTACTGGAGCACCAGGAGTGCCACGGGGACCAGCACTGCCAGGAGGCCCCAGGGGACCCTGAAGAGGAAGAAAGAACAATGGTTTATCAAACTCACCAACACGCAACCTTGGCCTGTGCATGGGGACTCTGTTCAGGGAAACATAATTGCACAAACCACATCCTTTTTTTTTTCCATTTCATTTACACAACAGGAAAGATGCCAGGACTGAGGTCTCGGGGAGCCTGCGTTCTCAAACCGAACAGAATTACCTGCGTTTCACAGGCAGCCTCTTCTGCTGCTAATTATCATCCCTGTGAGATGAACTCTGCCCTGGGCTCTGCTACAAGCAATGAGTGAGTCTACAGCAATCGATGCTAACCCGCCAAGCAAAGTTTGTCCAATGAAACATTCATACGGCATCCAGCCTAATTCCATCCTGCTCAATGCTGCTTTCAAAGAAAAGGAAGAAATGATCTGCTTCTGCAGATAGATTCTTCTGAAATCATTAATGTAGGAAATTGTGTGGGGGTTTCTTTCTCCTAAATTCAATTCCATCTACTTGTCTTCAAAAATGAGGGATTTGGGTAGACTATATCAAAGCCCAGACTGTGTATCAAGTGGCCTCAGTACATTATACAAGTTGGACATGGAAATGCTCACTCAGTTCATCTTGTGCATCCCCTTGCTAATACAGTGTTGCCTGCCATGGATCAGCCAGTTTTTGCATAGTTTAGTTTTAATAGATTAGAGCAACAGAGATTCCAACAGTATCCTTTGGGAAAATTTCTGACTATATCCCTCACTTTAGCAATGGCAAGCAATCCTGAGCTGGAAAGAGCGCTGGTCCAAATTGTCAAATGGAGGTCCTTAAAGTAAAATACTTGCATCTCTTTTTAATAGACTTAAACAAGTTGCTAGATAGTTAAAATGCTGCAGCTTCTACTGAAGATGCAGGGTGTGATTACAGTACTCATGGTTTAAAACTGAGAGATTCCTGGATTGGGGCAAATCATACAACAAAGGATGTCAGCAAAGGACCAATGACTGAGCTATAAAAGCTTCACAGCATGATTTTGCGGGCAGCTCCAGGTCTTTTATTTTGAAAACTTATGTGTAAGAAATCAAATGGAAGTAAAAATGAGACGCAAGAACAAAAAAGGATGCGTCAGCACCTTAGCCAAGGAATCCTGGCAGTGTCAGTAGTCGATAGCACAGGTCGCAAAGCCTGTGACTTCAATATTGCAGGTCACGGATCAATATTATACCTTTTATTTATTCATGTAAAGGCACGAGGTGGCCGAGGAGCAGTTTGGGGGTAGCAAGAATGAAGGATGAGGAGATGCTCATCGCCCTGTGGTTTAGATGAGGGCGTACTAAAATGCAATGTTCAAGTGCACTGCCTAAGAGGCATCTGGAAATAATGTGAGTATCTGACCAACAGATGGGGCTGAGTAACCAGAAATGGGACCAGGTTAGACTCCCATGGCTGGCTAGAGACATATAGTCTACTTTTAATATAGCTCTTTCTAGATTAGATAGCATTATTATTTAGAGAGGGCCTGCAGTCTACAAGGATATCACCTCTCAAAGAGGAGACATGAATGCAGTCCCGGTTTACACTGACCATGTTGATGTAATACATGCCTAAGCAGAAAACCCATCTCTGGGGAGATGAGATGCCACAAGTCACCTGCACCTTACCGACATGGGGACCCCTTGATTGTACTAGTCAGGTGACGGCCAATGTCTATGCTAGCAAGATGCCTACCTAAGTTAGCAAGAGAGAAATCAAGTGCAAAGAAGAGTCCAAATCATCCCTGGGTCAGAGACAAAGTACATATACTATAAAAAGGAACAAAAAACACATGAAGCTTTCTGGGGAAGGATACTTTGTGTCCACAAGTCTGTCTCTCCCAGCTATACTGTTGGTCTAATAAAAGATACCGCCAAACCTTTTTTCCTATATTGGTAATTCCCAAACCATAGTGGCCACACGAGCACTAAAACATGCACTGTTGAAGAGATCAGGAGATTAAGGAACATGGGAAGTGAAGAGGCTGGTATTAGAGGAAACGCCAGGCTCGGGGTTACAGGCAGAAAAAGGACCTGGTCCCACTCTTGTAGAAGCCAATGACAAATGGAAATAGCAGAATCAGGCCCAAAAAAGTGGATGAGAGAGTATGTGGGCAGTGGGGCGGGGGCTCGGCATGCTAGTGCCATTCTGGCGGACCACTGAAATTCTCCATCTGCAGGAATTTCTGAAAGGCGCCTCAGAAGGGTTGGGAAGATGTGAATAAGGCGAGGGAACAGCAGTGGCAAACAAGGGGAGAGGGTCCCAGATGAAGGGGCTGCGTGGATGAAAGCACAAGGAGAAGACTGCAAGGAAGACGCAGAAAAAATGGTAAAAGGAGAGAGCCTTTTGGGGAGTGGAAGCAGAATGAGAGGAAAAAATAATCCTGTCACTCTGTTTTTGCTCAGTCCAAAGTAAATAGAAATTAGACATGAATCCTGAAAAAAAATCTCAACTGTTGTGGAGAAAGTAAGCATCCCCATACTGGGTTAGACTTATGGGCCATATCTTGTCCAGTAGCCTTTTCTCAGAGAAGGGCTACTACCAGATGTTCTGGCAGGAGATGCTAGAACCAGGATAGGCAACCCTGGGCACGCATTCCAATTAGTGGCACAAGAAGACATTTTCCCCGGCATGCCTCCTGAGCCTGGCATCCTGCCTCGACCAGGCGGCAATACACGGGGATGGTGGTAATCCATCCCCGTGGAGCTGCATGGGCCAGCTCAGGCTGGGCTCTACCTCAGATGCCATTGGGCGCCCCCGTCCGCCTGCCACGGCTCAAGTCTGTGGAGCCCCAAGGCAGTGCCTGCTTCCCACCTGGCCCCCTCTCTCCTCTGGCTGCTGCCTTAGCAAGTTCCTGGCCAAGCTGGCCACAGTGCCTCCCTCCTTGTCTTCTTCTCCCCGCATTGCCCGGACCCTGTCCCGAGTGCCCAGCCCAGGTGCTCAGCACCCTGGTGCTACTGCCACCTGGGTAGATGGGGTGTCTGTCTGCCCAAGCCCCGGCTGGGCCCTCCCTCTCAGCCCTGGGCCCGGGCTTCCCCTGCTCCAGGACCATCGGGGAGATTTGAATGCCTCAACCCTGGCGGCTGCTGCTGGGGTGTCGCTGCCTTCCTCCACTGGACCCTGGATCAGTGGGCTGGAGCCACAGCCAGTAGCAGTGGGAGACATGGACAGCAAGGGACCCACCCTCTTTCTCTTGTTCATTTTTTTCTCTTTTCTTTCTCTCTCTCCTCTTTCTTTTTCTCTCTCCCCTCTTTTTTTGTCTCCTCTTTTTCTCTCTTCCCCTTTTCTCTTTTCTTCTTTCTTTCCCTCATTTTCTTTTTTCTCTGTCTCTCTTCTCTTTTTTTTCCTCTCCTTTTTCACTTCTTCTTTTTCTCCCCTTTTCTATCCTATTTCTTCTTTTTCTCTCCTTTTTCTTTCTTCTTTTCCTCTCTCCTTTTTTATTTCTGTCTTTTCCTCTTTCTCTTTCTTTTTTCTCTCTCTCCTCTCCTTTTCTCTCTCTCTCTTGTCCTTTTTTCTCTTTTTTCTTTGTCGTCTCTTTTTCTTTTTATTTCTCTCTCATCACCACATGCTTAACTAAAAAGACTACAGAAAAAACAAAGGTAGCATGTGAAGTTTTATTTATTGTCACCAGGTTTCAGAATTTTTGGAAAACCTAGTATTTACCCCCAAAAAAGTAAAATTTATGATTATTAACTATATTAATATGCAGTGTATGCCGCCATGTACCCCCTGCCCTGGTTTTGTTTTTCTGGTATCTATCTTACAAGATAGATGTTGTATTTTTTTCGGCACTCCAGCCAAAAACATTGCCTATCCCTGTGGGAGAAACCCCATAGAATATGCATGAGACAATCTCTCTCTACCCCCAGGGAGTCTCACTCTAATCCCAGCTAGCCAGCAATCATTGTAAACCCCCAAACATGAGGTTTCATTTTCCCTCACAGGCCTTTTAAAACCTTCATTGAAACATATTCTGGATATTCCTGCAAGCTACAGAAATGTTCATGCCAAGAACCCAACCGCCTTCTGCAGCAAGGAGTTTCACCATCTAGCCATGCTTTCTAATTGCTGCCAATAAATCATTCCAATCTTTTTTCTCTTGAAAACAAGGCTGAGCGGGATATCCATCTCTGGGGAACTTTGGAGGCAAAAGTCTCCCGAGACATATAATAACTGAGATTGATGAAGTGCAAGCAGACCAATACCCCTCTCTGGGAACAGGTGCATTGAATCCACAAATCTGCAGTGATGGGAGGACGCCTACAATCTCAGAAGCCTTGCCTGCAGGAAGCTGGTGGACTATTTCATTGCCAGGGCTCCCTGGGAACAGCACTGTAAAAGGACACCTCCTTGACACCATGAGCAGTGCCAGACATCTCTATGGCACAGCTTGTGGGAGCTGCATGCTGCTACCGCCTTTCCTGCTAGATTTGTTACTCTTTGCAGGCTGGACTGCATTAATTGCTCATTGGTATGAAGCAGTCGTGGTCACGTTCATAAAATCCATCCTATCCTGTTCATATTCAAGTTACTATTAAGGCCTTCCCTTCTGCCGTACTGCTTACAGCAAACCTGTTTTACATTATAGATACACTGCCTATTTTTATTCCCTTTCCCCCAGTCCCTGTTCTTACAACCTAAAACCATTGTAAAAGCAATTGACTTTCTTGGGCATCAAAATGTTCACCAGAGCTTTCTCTTCTTCCTAGGATGGATAACTTGCCCTGCAAGCTGCAAGAAGCAGAGCTCCAGGGAGGAGAGGAGCTGAGCTTGACTGGACAAGGAGCAAGACTTCATACTTCAGGGAACCTATGAGAAAGCCCCTGCATCACCAGACAGCAGAAAATAAGTATTTTGGGGACTTGTGTTGTAGCTCATTGCCATGGTGTCATGTTTACCCAGGATTGGAGGGGCCTTTTATTTGAGAGCAGATGCTCATATTTTTATTCATTTTGATTAAGTACTGGAGGATTGGGTTGTGGGTGTAGGTGGGCACCAAGAAG